TTTTTTGAATTAGGAATGTGTTTTTGAACTTGTTCTTCTTGACTATGGGGAGCATCTTCATCTTCTTTCTTCGAATTTGGCATGTTGTAGGAGGCTTCCGTTTCTCAATATATCACCGTCCTATATCTATTTCTATTGTCTTCTTCCTCCGGATATAAAATTTTGCCATAACCTACAACTTCTTCACATGCTCTAAATTTGTCTTCTTTCTTCGCAAGATGAGTGAATTTGGAAGTTTAGTATCCGTAGAAATAAAAGGGAAAATCAAGGTGAGGAGAGGAGAGATGAGAGAGTTAAGAAACAGCTGATCAGACAAAGGGGTTGGGTGGGGTTTATTGTACACGCACATATGGAGCAGGGAGGTTTTCAAACTTTAGGGTAGTAAAGTCTTTTACCACACTTTTGTTTGTTGAAAAAAGCTAAATGACAAAGTTTTTTGGGACAACTAAAAAGGCTATTGTTGTTTTTAACTATTTCGTATTAGATTTCAAATATTACATGTTTTTATTTTGAAAAAATGACACCAGTATTACTTCTCAACTTGTGTTGGACACAGATATGACCACAATTAAAAAGGTCAAAAATGTGACCCCCTGCTCTTTCTATTTGCTACACTCACATTCGGTTCTAAACCTTCACTTCCCCAATTTACCTTACATCCTCCATCTTATCTCTTGGGAGCCTTCATGTTATCTCTTCCGCCTTTCGCCTTCATCGCGCAACCTCCACTTCCGGTGCTATCTACCTTCTCCGATGGCAGGACGTTAAACCTCCGCCCTCAGCTTCGTCGACGGAAACAACATCGATATCTTCTCCATTGTCCTTCTGGTCGCCCCTCCCATGGACGACAACTCATATTTGAGGGCAGAAATTCAGGATCTGATTCTGAGTGACGAATCTGATTTGAAGACAGATTGCTTGAAGCTGCGTGGTCTGGACCTCTACATAGACCTTCTCCGCTTCCTGCTTTCCAGATCTGCAGCGGCTGGAGGAGTGGTGGGGGCAGCGGTGGTCCAGAATTTGGGTGAAATGGAAGAGGAGATGAGACTAGGGTGATAGAGATGGGGTGGTGGAGCTAACGGTTGGGCTGGGGGGTTGGGGAGGGAGATTGGGGGATGAGGAAGTGGCAGGAGGGTTGGAGGGGGTTGTGGGGGTTGGTGGATGCTGGTTGGGGGGGGAGGGGTGGGGGATGGGCTGTGGTGGTGGGATGTAGTCGTCGCCGGCGGTGGCCGGAGTTGGTGGCCGGAGGGGAGGGGAGAGGTTGGGGCTAGCTGGGCAGGGTGCATGCGGGGGCGGTGGGCACCTGTGCTGGTGGAATGGGTTTGCAGTGGTACGTGGACAACATGTTTGGACTGCTGAGGGGTGGGCCAGTGGTCACCGGGGGCTGTGGGTGGTGGGGCTAGGTGGTGGTCACTGGATGAAGCGGAGCGGCGGCTGTAATTGGGTGGTGTCGGCAGCGTTGTCATTGTGGCACTAGTGTCATGACGACTATGGAGGGGGTTTGCGGGCTGGGGAGGGGTGGCCGGAAAGTGGCGGCGGTGGACGGAGTTGGCGGCCAGTCACTTTGTCCGGTAGCGGCTAAAGTGACACTGACGGCTACAGTGACACGGGAGGTGGCTACAGTGACATGGGCGGCGGCTACAGTGACATGGGCGGCGGCTACAGTGACACGGGCGGTGGCTACAGTGACACGGGCGGTGGCTACATTGACACGGGCGGTGGCTACAGTGACACGGGCGGTGGCTACAGTGACACGGGCGGTGGCTACAGTGACACCGGCAATGACATAAAATCTGACAGTGATAATATGATTTTCAAATATATGACCTTCTTGGTCACTTTTTTGTCTTTTCGAAAAATGGTCACATTTTAGGAAAATGGCTTTAATTTAGTAATATTGAAGGCAAAAGCCCTTTTATTTTTTTTTAGGAAAAATTGAAAATAATAATCCCAACTATTGTCGGTCCGCTGAAAATAATCCCAACTATTGATTATTTTTGTATAATCCCAACTATATAGACTGTCCGCCAATAATGGTCCATCACCAGATATAAAAAGTGAATTTTAAATAGAAATTAAGCGTAAAAATTAAAAGTTGAGATTATTTATAGGGATTACTTGTTATATCTCATCTCATCATCTTTAGAAACTACAAGAATTTATTCACAGGGACCATTATTGGCGGAAGGTCCCTAAAGTTGGGATTATTCTGGAATAATCAATAGTTGAGATTATTATGAGCGGACCGCCAATAGTTGGGATAATTACTATCAATTTTTCCTTTTTTTAAAAAAAATCTAATTAGTTTTTTCTTTACAAAAAATAAGTCATGTAAAAGATGTCTGCTTGTTCATGTCTAGGTCTCGCCTTTCACGCCTAGTTAGGCTTACGCATTTTCACGCTTTTGAAGGTCAACTCTCTAGTTGATCGTCCTTTCCACGTCTTTCTATTATGCAGGACATTTTTCTGCCACCTCACGCTTAGGCGCACCTAGGCACAGCCTTTTAGAACACTGCCTGTAGGACGCAAGTCACGCAATTTGCTTTTGACATATCATGCATATGGCTCGAGGTTGCAGCCTATCAAGAAGAAATTATTACACTGAATATGGGCACATGACTTAAGAAGTCTCCTAACAATGCTGATTAGACCTACAAAATTGTGGTGCCTATAGATGTAGTACTCCTAGTTAGCTCTTTTTCGTTTAAAACGTGTTTTAAACATGTACCATTTTTTTAACAAAAAAAAAAACGCGTTTAAAACGAAAAATGATGTCGGTCCGTTTAAAAAGGAAAAAAACTCCTACTTCCCGTATAAAACGAATTTTTTCCGTATTTTTTTACAAAAAATAGAAACATGAACTGATCAATTGAATGAGTGCATAAAATGCATAGGAGATCAACAATAGCTTAAAAGCAAAAGGGAAAACATCGTCCTCGTGACCGCGTGTTTTTGTATTGTTACAATGTAATTATTAAATACTAAAATTAATTGCATGACGGCTAAAGCTAGCTTCCTAAAATTAAATACCAAAACGTTAAATACTACTGGATTTATGATGTTTTCCCAATCAAACATATCAAAATTAAGGTTTTTCTAAACCTGACATGTGTTTAGTATACTTTTATAGTTTTACAGTTAAACAATAATAAGTGTAGTAGTTGTACAATGTACTTTTCTCATATGTCATCCATCATCTTGATTAAATGATGAGTTTATTTGATGATCATGTAATGATAATGTTTTTAACTTAGTCTCGTCTATGGTTGATGCCTCATTTTTTGGACTTTATTTTGTCACCGACTTATGCAATTATGAATTATTCTTTTATGTGGTAATGAGATTTGCTACTTGAATATGTGTATACTTTTATTTCTTTTTACTATTTATCTTATTTTGTGAAGTATATACTTTAAATGTTCAAAATAATACTCCGTATTTTTTATCCGAATTTTTGTAACATATACCGTATTATACCCGTAACGTATAACGTATTTTTCAACGAATTTTTGACCGTTTTTTTCATTCGTGGTACCGAATAAAATGCGTACGTATTAAACCTCGTTTAATTCCCGTACCGTATTTAACTAACTACGGTAGTACTTCGTATTGTTCCCAATTTGACAACCAATAACCCAACTTGCGATACCTAGGTCTGGGATCGGTTCGGTTCTTGTTAAAATTCGATGGAACCGTATTAAAAATTATAGGCTCTAAATTCGGTTCGGTTCTAGTTAAAAATGTAGTTGTTAAATTTGGTTCGGTTCTAGTTAAATTCGGTTCGGTTCTTACATTTTTCGGTTCCTAATGAAAATTTGTTATTCTCCCAAAATGAACACATTTTACCTTCAGTTACATAAAAAAAATCAAATTTCAAATGATGAAATTATGACCATTACATTATACATACATGAAATTCCAATGTTCAAATATCACAAAAATTTCCTAATGCAAACATTAAGTTTAAACATGACAAAAACATAAAGGTTTAAAGTAGGCATCAAGTATCGAGCAAAAAGGTTTAATAACTTCAGGGTACACATCCAATAGGACGTGGTTCAACCTCAAAATAATATTCTTCTACTAGTAAAGCACCATAATTTAAAAGTACGTAGTAATAAACTGACCAGTAATAGTATTTGTAATTTACTATAAACAAATAACAACATAATCAGCAGAATGTCTTATCAAATAACAAATATATACAATCACAAACAAATAAAAAATATAAAAGTGGACTAAAGTAGTAAAATAACAACTACTCGAATTGGCGTGGTCCAAAATATATAAGGTATATTATGCAAGACGAATATTCCTGACAAGATTTTTCTGTCTGGAACGCTGTCTGGCCACCTCCATTTGAGGTGTTTCCGGGTAAAAAAAATTATGATATTTTGTGAGCATGTTCTACATGAAATGTAGATTACATCCACCAAATTTTAGCTTAAAATGAAATCAGGAAGTGAGTTAAATAAAATATTGAAAAACATTGTGTTTTTTATACGAAGTATGTATTTTGACGTAGTGTTTTTCAATAATTTATTTAACTAACTTCCCGATTGAAATTTAAACTCAAATTTAGTGGATATAATCTACATTTCATTAAAAACGAGCTCACCAAATTTCATCAAAAAAATTCATTCAAAAATACCTCAAATGAAGATTACTCATTCAATGTATAAGAAGTTCGGTTCCTGCCTAAGAACCGGAACCGGACTGGAACTGAACCGGAACCGAACCGATCATATACTATAGGAATCAAATCGAAAAAACATGAAGTCCAAAATTATAGGAATCTGAACCGAACCGGAAAATTCGGTTCGGTTCAGATCGGTTTTCCCGGTTTTACGGTTCCAAGTCCCAGGCTAGCCATACCACAATTTTCGTCCTGGTAATGACCAATCACCAATGTCAAATTATCTTCACCAACTAATAACGGACAAAAAGTTCAAAATTCAAAATGCTTCTATCTACTCAACGTTTCAAAATTCAAAAGTTGCAAATAGCCTTTCCCTATTCCATTTCTTCTTTCTTATTTCCAATTTCGCATCCCGACCCTTTACCCTATTTCCTGAATTCAAAATCACTCAACTTCCATTCCTCTCCTTCAATCACTAATCCGTTCGAACGCTTTAATGGGTGCCAATCACAGCCGTGAAGATCTGGAGCGTTTGGATTCCGACTCAGAATCGGAATACGGAACAGAGTCCGAATCCCAGACTCAAGACAGCCAACGGGACGACGGCGATGACGCCGAGACTCCTTCATCCTACCGTCCGGAGACTTTAAACTCGCCTTCTTTGGACGATATCGAGACCAAGCTCAAGTCTCTGAAGCTCAAGTATAATGTCGGGTCGCAACAGGATCCGGCTCTGAAGAACGCCATTAAGCTGTACGCATATGTCCGAGATAGCACTGCCAAGTCTAAATGGGTCGTTTCGGACAAGCGGACTCCATATTTCTTCGTTAAAGGCGTATCCGAGGAGGCAGATGAAGAAGAAGATGAATCCTCTTGGTGGGTCTTGAAAATAGGAAACAAGATCCGGGTCAAAGTGGATGAAAATCTACAACTGAAAGCTTACAAAGATCAGAAGAGGATCGATTTCATTGCAAATGGGGTGTGGGCTGCGAAGTTCTTTGATGAGGAAGAGTATACATCCTTCTTTGACAAGTACAAAGCCTGCCTGTTTGAGAATACTTATGGCTACGAGGCAAACGATGCTAACAAGGTCAAAGTATATGGTAAAGACTTCATAGGTTGGGCAAATCCGGAAATTGCTGACGACTCTATGTGGGAAGATGCAGCAGACAGCTTCAAGACTCCAATGAGAGAGCTTAAGCAGGAGTTTGAAGAAGCAGCTTCTATTAATGGTGGAGAAATTCAAAGCTTAGCATTAGGGGCTTTGGATAATAGCTTCCTGATAAGTGATTCAGGTGTTCAAGTCTTGAGGAACTATAATAATGGGATTCAAGGAAAAGGAATGTATGTTAACTTCGACAAAGAGAGATTTAGTTCGAATCATTCAACTCCTAGGAAAGCTTTACTCATGAGAGCCGAAACCAACATGTTACTCATGAGCCCCATGAATGAAGATAGGCCTCATTCAAAGGGTATTCACCAGCTTGACATTGAGACAGGAAAAATAGTGAGCGAGTGGAAGTTTGAGAAGGATGGGACGGACATTTCCATGAGGGATATCACTAATGATAGTAAAGGAGCTCAGATGGATCCATCTGGCTCAACTTTCTTAGGATTGGATGATAATAGACTGTGTAGGTGGGATATGCGTGATAGAAATGGTATAGTTCAGAACGCCGTTACTACCCCTGTGTTGAACTGGACTCAAGGGCATCAATTCTCTAGGGGCACAAATTTTCAGTGCATTGCTACAACAGGTGATGGGTCGATTGCAGTTGGTTCACTTGATGGGAAAATCAGACTGTACTCGATCAGTTCCATGAGACAGGCAAAGACAGCTTTTCCTGGGCTTGGTTCACCCATTACTCATATTGATGTTACTTATGATGGGAAGTGGATATTGGGTACTACTGACAATTACTTGATTTTGATATGTGCCTTATTTGAGGACAAGGATGGCAAGATGAAGACTGGTTTCACTGGCCGTATGGGTAATAGGATATCTGCTCCTAGGTTGTTGAAGCTAACTCCTTTGGACTCTCATATTGCAGGAACAAATAATAAGCTTCGTAAGGCACAGTTTTCTTGGGTATGTTTTCCTTTTCATTTGGTTTATGCATTTAACTCTTTCAGACTTTCAGTTTACTGCACGATTGAATGGAGTAGCTATCTTATTATGTGTTGTGCTAATTGCTAGTTGCTACGGTTTCTATACAATGCTGCATACAACGTGTAAAACTTAATGGAGGGTAGTAAAGAGACATTTAGTTACTTTCCATACCATAGTATGAAAGCTAGCTAATGTATTGGTTTTTGAATGCTATATATCTAAACAGTATGTTAAGTTCATGAGGATTAGGTAAACATGGGATGTTTATAGGTTTAGAGGCGGCTTGACTAAAATTTGAATCTAACCACTTTGGTGAATTTGAGGCTGAAATGAATAATTGCTGAATTATCTTTTAAAAAGTATTTATTACTTATAAATAAGGAGTAGTTTATTGAAAATATGATCTAAAAATGAAGGTAGGACTGTAGGATGTCATTTTACTTCGTTTAAGCTATTGCAGCAAACTATCACTTCATGCACTTGTATATGCTTATTCATCCAGTGCAGCCAAATAGCTAGGGTCTGTTTATAGGTTTAGAGGCGGCTTGACTAAAATTTGAATCTAACCGACTTTGGTGAATTTGAGGCTGAAATGAATAATTGCTAAATTATCTTTTAAAAAGTATTTATTACTTATAAATAAGGAGTAGTTTACAGAAAATATGATCTAAAAATGAAGGTAGGACTGTAGGATGTCATTTTACTTCGTTTAAGCTATTGCAGCAAAGTATCACCTCATGCACTTGTATATGCTTATTCATCCAGTGCAGGCAAATAGTTAGGGTCTGTTTTGAACTCTGAAAATGATAGGGTAAGAAAACAAGAAAACACAAGTGAAAGTAGGAAGGAAAAAAATACGTTTGGGAATAAAAAAATTGAAACTTAATCAAACTAATTTTTTATACTATCAGTTTTTACTAGTTTATTGGACATTTTTTTTTTTGCATTTTCAGTCTGAAACTAAAACATAAGAAATTAACTCTTAACACAAGTGAATTTCCTATCCCTAGGATTTGGTGAAAAGCATAATAAATTATCAGCGTAAAAAGGTTATACAAATGGGCTCAAAGGCTCAAAGTTTTCTATTAAAATGGCCTCTTTCTTTCTTGATTGCGGGTTGTGTATAGATAGTACTTTTTGAGCAAAATAATATCGGGCAGAGCTATAAAATGGAATTTCTTTATTAAATAGGTGACAGAGAACGGGAAGCAGGAGCGCCACTTGGTTGCAACAGTGGGAAAGTTCAGTGTGATATGGAATTTCCAGCAGGTGAAAGACGGGTCCCACGAATGCTACCAAAACCAGGTAGGATTGAAGAGCTGCTATTGCTACAAGATTGTTCTAAGAGATGAGTCCATCATAGACAGTTGCTTCATGCATGACAAGTTTGCAGTCACTGACTCTCCGGAAGCTCCCCTCGTGGTCGCCACCTCTCTCAAAGTTAGCTCTTTCAGTATTTCATCAGCAACGAACAGGCGCCTACAATTATAGGAGCCCCTGCCCCTTTTGTCCGTTTCCGCACCGTCTTTCTGTTTATTCATCCTTATTATAGAACAACATATTTCATGTGTCTTTGGCTGTTGCTTGAAAAAGAAAATGTATATTTGGAAGCCATTAAAAAGAGGATGCTCTTCCTCTAACCCGTTTAGGGCTAGTTCACTTAAGTCCAGTAATGCTGTTGTTGTATTAGCAACTGCTCTTTGTTTTTTCATCTAAATATGTGTAATGCATTGGTGTGATATTCTAATTTCTAAATGCAATTATTATGTCTGAATGTTGGTCTTTTCACCTATTAGGCCTCAATTCTATGAAAAGATTATTGAGCTCATTGAGCACAACTCTTTTCTTAAAATTTGAGCTCAAATTTTATTTCTAATCTGAAGCTATTATATTTATTATATCCATCATTCCATATTTCCATTGTAAATATCTCAAATTTATAAAAAATGGACTAAAGGTAAAACGAAACATAAGAATCAACCTTTCCCTCGCACTCTTTTCTTAACATAGTATTGATGACAAGTAGTGCGTGTATGTCTCACAAATTGGATGTGAAAAAAAACTTCAAAAATGATCTTTGTAACCACTCTTATACCCACTTTTGTATCCACCTATGTTTGTGAAAGTTTTTTTTTGTCTGTGAATCTCGGTTCAAAGACAATATTTTGCACAAACAAAATATTATCTGTGAACCGGGTTCACAGACAAAAAAAACTCTCACAAACATGGTGAGTATAAGAGTGGGTACATCCGTACATGAAGCATTGTTGAAAAAACTTAGCTGACCCTCAATTTTCTGCCTCTCAATTTTCTATATTGGAATAAACAAGTGTCAGCTTTTGAAAATGCTAGTACTGATGACAAGCAATGCGTGTATATGTCTCACAAATTGAGCTTCACGAGACCATCATATATGAATAAATGCAACTTCTTTCCACAATTCAAACACAAAACATTTTGACAAAAAAACGTTCACTAGTTACTGTTGGAGATGCACAAGATATTCACTATATATCATTATTACATTTTCCTAATATAAAATGTATTATTACCAATGAAAGGATATTGATCAATTACTATCATTCATTGTTCAATATATCAAATACCTATAAATATACAAAATATGTGGACGAGCCCTATACAAGCATAGCAAATAGCGCCATCTATCTATGGACTATGATGATTGATGAGGTTGAGCAAAAGTTGATGCCACTGGTTTAGTGGGACTTATTTGATGAACATTACTACCTTCTGCTGCATGCATATCAACTGTAACCAATGGCTGGCAATATGATCTATTGCTCCGTAGCCTCCTGCACGGCCAGCTTTCAACGTCATCCGTACAGTCTGTAGAAGAGCGTGTTTGGTAAGGTAAAATTTGAAGGAAGTTTTGCTGCTTAATCCTGAAAAAGATTCTGCTTTGGCTTGACACCCTTATTAACAACAATGAAATTGTGTGGTTAAATATGCAGAGGGGGACATTTGGACGACTATTATTTCCTACGGAATGGTATTTTCTTATATTTGGTTTTGCTTCAGAGAGAAAATCAAAAGAAAAAGAAACACATATTAATTTTTAAATATGTTTGGATTTCTTAGTATTTTGAAGATGGAAATAAATACGAAAAATGAACTCTAAAAATAAGAAACATAAATTTATCAAGTTTGAAATTTGAAAAAAAATGTTATATTTTGTTCAACATTTTTTACCTTCCAAGTTTCATTTATAATCATTTATAATTTCCTTCGTATTATCTTTCCCTATCATTTTTGTAGTTCCAAATGGACCCCAAAAGGAGAGGGAAAAGTGTAATAATGTAAAGAAAATACTCAATGTTGAAAGGATGAAGGCAAAAGTGTAATTTCTCTTTCGGTCATCACCCAAAAAAGTAATTTTTGCACTATTTTTGATATAAACAGTTGATAGAGCCAAGAGGATTTTAGGTGCTAGTAAATGGGGAGTAAAAGATTACTAGTGATAATTCAAACAAAGATGACATCAAATTAACCTGGATGTTTCTAGGAATCTTCAACCACATCAAAGAATGCTGAGATTCCTCTAGCAGCTCCCACACTGGGGTATTATGTAGGTGGAAGTTTCCAAAAGTTCCATGAATTGAAATCCTCCTGAAACCAAAGATGACCCATAACTCCATAAGTCTCCCGCGTGACATGTCACTAGCCATGGCGAATGATTCCACCACCATTTGTTCCAAAAAGATTTCCAAAAATGTTTAAAACAACTAAACCTGCTCGGACGAGGAAAAGTCTGGAAACATGCCGTTTACAAGAACGTGAAGGGAAGTGTATGACTTTGTGTTGGTGATATGTCTATTCACAACAATTTCTCCCTGTACGTTACCATACCATTATGAAATGTTATTATTAGTGCACACCACGGGTACTCTGGAGAGCAAGTTGACAGAAGACATAATAAATATATATATCCCACTGAATATGTTGACTTATCAAACAATATTTTTTAAGAATACGTTTAAATAAGTAAAAAATAATCATATCTAAAAAGTATCAACTTAAGCCAAGAACAAAGTACTCCTGCACTACTTTTATAATTACCAGCTGATTCAGCCAATGCAATTACAATATTTAGTGTTTAAAGAAAAAACAGAATAACAATGCAGATAGGTCAGAACTAAAGCATGCCAAGCAGACCATTGTGTGTACCTTTGGGTTTATGATGAAAATTTTTCCCTTAGGTATTCCAACTTTAAGGTAGCTAATCTCATCAGTATCTCTGTTCCCAAAACCAGCATAAAAGGGGTTCCTATCAGAAGGAAACAGTGCCTTAATATCCTGCAAAAAATATATATACATATAACACAAAGATCACTGATAAAAATCAAATGAGGGGGAACTGCACTAAATAAGTAACTGACCTCCAGGCATGCTATTTTAAATTCGTGTGGCGCTCTTCGAACCACTGAAGAAGGTTACAAAACCAGAAGAGATGTCACAGTATAAGCATACAAATACTTTAACAAAAAAAAAGACAAAGAAACATGCATTTTCCTGCCGGTGACAGAAATACAAGATGTGATAAAAACGCGGTTTTAAGGGTCCGTTTGGATCCAGGGAAATACTAGGGAAAGTATATGGAGGGGGAAAAAATGCAAACAAGTAAAATGCGGGGGAATAACAGAAAGTCATACTCAATAGATTTATTATAGATATTTGTTGATAATCGTTTCAGTTAAGTCATTTATAGTAGACTAACAAATCTAAATATATCTAAAACAAAAAACTAAGCTTGTTTCATTTTCCAAGGTAAAATCAAACATAAGCCAATGACTGTTTAGTTTAATTATTTTCCTTTGTTGATGTTTTCCAGGATCCAAACATACCCTAAGGCATTAATGGAAGGAAATTGCCAAGTGACCTTCACGAAATAAAGAAGGGAAAAGTCCATCAGGTGATATAATAACTGGACCTTCTGGCATTCCCTTTCCGTCCTGCAGCAGAAGAGAACCATCTGTTATCTCCAAGTTCTGTTTCGTGAACCGTGTGTGTGTGTATCCAATCAATAAGATATTATCGAACCTACTTGCATGAGATTAACTAGAAATTGTCTAGTAATATAGGCCTGAGAAATAGAACGGGCACTTAAGAAGAGCATCTGATATCCATTTTCCTGCAGCAGCATTGAGACAGAAAAGCATCAAACCTAGTACAGAGTAATTGTTTGTAGGCATGAGTTTTAAAACAAATGACTTAATGACTGAGAAATACATTTAGTCATGGGTTTTATTGACTTGAGCATTAGTAAAGTTGCAATGATATAGAACATACAAAGAGCCAGATGCTGTTATAGTCAGTTGAGACAGACCTTAATAGCGGAAAAGAGATGTACAACGCCTGTCTGCGACCAATCTACCCCAACCAAAGGCATGAATTGTCCCAGAACATCAGATCTGTTATTTCGTTCCAGTTAAAATCATCACATTTAGAACAGTAAATCCCAGGACTTATGTGATCATCATTGTAGGAACTCGTGAAAGAGAAAAAACAATATGTTCTCACAATAAAAAACTGAATAAAAGGATGAAGAGACATCTATGTCAGTTGAATGGTTAACATGCTCTGACTCTATTTGACAAAACTTATTACTGTGATGTGAATATGGATTGCAACATTTGCAAGGAACCCATGGTATACTCCAAGTTACTTACTCCCTCCGTCCCGAAAAGGTTCGCCAAATTGACTTTTCTTGGTCAATGGTAGTCAACTTTGACCAATGATATTTCTTAACACAAAATTATTTTGAAAATGAAAATTATATTAAAAGGTTCCTTATTAAAAATATTTTCATAAAAGTACAAAATTTATAAATTATATACGAATATAATAATTAAAATAATTGTGCACAGTTTATCATCATTGAACAAGAAAAGTCAATATGGCAAACTTTTTTAGGGCGGAGGTAGTATTCATTATCAATGCAAAAGCTGAATGAGTAATCCATGATCAGAAATGGATTAATTAATATATTCCACCTTAATCTAATTGCTAAAAGTTGGTGTTTGTTTATCCAAACCTTATATTCTTGAAGAATTATCAGCTTTGTAGTTCACATAATTCTTTCTTTAGAAGGTTGAAGGTTCCAACATGAAGGCCATTATGCATAACTTTGCCACAGTTTTTGCATGAATGTCTATAATATCAACTTAATTTTAGACATTTAAGTTGACACTAAAAGTCTAAAATTATGCTGATAATCCAACATATTTGGCATTATGATTTGTAGCTCCTAATGAAAATATGTTTTTTTGCCTCTTATCTAGTTTTGGCTCAGCTTTTACATTTCACTATTTCAGAGGAGATAAGTTCAAACCTAAGTCAGGCGCACAAGCATTTCACCAAGCAATGCCTTTATGATTTGACATTTTGTGATGACAAAATTCCAGAAGCTTATAGAGGGAAAAAAGAGAACAAAAACTAGTATGAAACTTAGAAGGATGTCTATTAAGTTTCTTCTTTGGACTAACTTCTCAAAACCATTAATCATATATATATATATATATATATATGCTTGCACAATGGACAAATATTAGTTTTTACGGTATTTCATTGGTGAGGCCGGGTATCAAGAGAGAAATTCATGTCTGAGTTTTTTGTATTTGCTAAAAGATTACAAAATGCCAAAAAAGTTTTGCACTTATTATGGATAAAGATACCTCTTTTGATATTTTCCAAATTCTTAAGCTAGCTTGGAAAGCTTTATCTTTCCATTTTTGTTGTTCAATTTAGAAATCAGATCCTTTAACATGAAATACCTTTTCCATTTTTATGTTTCCAAATTACAACTTGTCAAAAAAACTAGT